GACATCTTCTTCAGCCTGCACGCCGTGGCCCTCACCCTGGTTGTCCTGGTGCAGTGCCTCCTGTACGAGGTGAGAGATGGACTGGCAGCTGCTCCCTGTGGCTGCCAGGCAGCACCCACCACCACCACCTGCTGCCCACACCTGCTGTTTCACTACAGACACAGAGACCCTCAGAAAGGACACATGTTTGATCGCTCAGCATCTGATTGATTATTGGGCCAAGATAATAGGCCAGGCACAGGGACCTCACCACGAGCCCAAGTTCTTGCCCCCTCCCCCAGGTCTGGAGTGAGGGACAGAGAGAGGCATGATGATGACCCAGCAGGTGGAGAGCTGAGGGGAGGGGAGAGCATGGCCCAGCCAGCAAGGAGGGGGAAGGAGGGCATCAGGAATTGGTGTTTAGAGTAGTCCGTGGAGTGAGTAACGTTCTTGTGGCCATGGGGAAGAGGGACAGGGTGGGGCACCGCCAGCTGGGGCACCGACTGTGAATGCCAAGGGGCAGTGAGAGCCACCATGAGCCGGTCGAGGTAGCTGGGGTTCAGTATGAGGAGGAGGCTCACGAGGGCCCCGAGAGGTCTTGGGGGATGTGGACTCAGCCGTGTTGGGCCATGTGTCTGGTCGCTGACGTGGTGTTTTCTTTCACTTCCCCGTGGGCGCACCACTTCCCTCAAAGAGTTCCCTTCATACACGCAAGGCCAGCCACGCTGCTTGGGCCCCACCTTTACGAACCTTCCAGGTTTTCTTGCTCTTTGCTGTGGAGCTTGGGCGAAGGGGAAGGGTGGGGACAGATTCCAGAGTGGTCAGGCTCTCTCTGCATCATGGAATGAACAGTCCTGGGCTGGGATGGTGTTGGGTTCCATCCCCGACATCCTTCGCTCCTGGGGGGCTCTGGGAGGCACCCAATTCTGCATTGTGGAAACAAGAAGCAATTGGGCTCTGGAAAGTCTAAGAAGGACTGAACTAGAGACCCTGATAGTGACAAGGGCATTGCCCCCACCCACCCCCAACTTCCCTCCCTTCCCCCCTCTCATCCCCAGCGCGGCGACCAGCGGGTGTCCTGGCCCGCCATCGGCTTCCTGGTGCTCTCGTGGCTCTTCGCGCTCATCATCATGATTTTGGCCGCAGTCGGGGTAATCACATGGCTGCGGTTTCTCTTCTGCTTCTCCTACATCAAGCTCGCGGTGACACTGGTCAAGTACTTTCCGCAGGTACTTCTGGGGCCTTCCTTCCCTTCCATGTGGCCACTTGGGTAAGGGGGTGAGATACAGGCCCCCGGTCCTGTCCTGGCTGGGGCGAGGACCAGGCACGGGAAGCCGCAGTGGAAGCCATGGGCCCAGCAGGACGGAACCCGGTGAAAGCTGGCCAGGGCTGCCCGCT